AAAAAAAAAAAAAAAAAAAAAAAGGTAATTATGTACCTTGTCTTCGATCCCGTTCAAATTTCCGAAGTGTGCCTCCGAAGCGTGTCGCCCGGAAAGGAATTGTTGTCTACCCCTTTTAATTTATAACTTTTTCAAATGTGTCTGACATTTGTGTTTTTTTTTATGTGGAACAATTTTCGACCTTTCGGCTTTTTTTCGTAAAAAAAATTTATTTAATTTTTGTTTTAAGTTTGTTTTTTCATTTTTCGGTCCATCTGCTCACGTCCGTCGGGACGAATGCGCGTCGACTAACGGTCTATCCCGCTGAGCGAGTACCTTTGTCCGGACGATGTGACCCTCTGTTTATACGGCGTAATCTATCATTTTGTCCAAGGGTTGTGTTTCGTATGTTTCTTCGTTGTCGATTTTGACAGCCTGATACCGTCATGTGGTGGGCCTGTGTTCACTATGAGGACCGCTTTTGTTCTCGATCACACCCGCACTTATGGGCGTTTTTTTCCCTCCCTCGGGGGAGGTGGGCCGGAATCGCACCCTCCGTCAGTGGACACCAACATGTGGTCGACACGATTTTCCTTTACGGAGTCCGTCCATGGGCTTTTGCCATCAATACGACACAATTCGTGTTTGTCTTTTTTGTCAACTTCATTTTCCCCGTTTTTCCCTCGCGAATTGATGTGATAATCCCAGTCTATTGTTTACTGGTGTGCAATTCCGGTCGACATGTTTTTTTTGCCACATTCACCTGAGATGCATACGATTTTTGCACGGCAGTGCTACGGGGGTTGTTTATTTGTTTACGCAGCGGTTGGGTGGGCGGGATTTTTTGGGGGGGGGGGTTCAGTTCTTGCTTGGGTGTCTCCCCGACGTATATCATATTGGCACGTCGACGTCATAGAAGGGGCTTCTCAGTTTGTGGCGTGCTTTGTCACAACTGTGTTCATGGGTCCTGCATTAATGAAATCCCTTGCTTTCGTATCGACGACACTTCACATTAAACCACCATTGCTTGACCCATACATTGGCTACGGCCAATTGTCGTTGCCCACCGCAACTTCGGGGGCCTCGGGAACACGAACCGGCTTGTGTGAAAAAAACGGGCTGTCACCTGCTGTTTTTTTTTTTTTTTTTTTTTTTTTTTTTTTTTTTTTTTTTCCGCTTCGTAGCACATCGGCGTGCAAACCCGTACTGAGGCCTGCGTTGTATGGCCGGGCCAGGTTGTTGTCGTTTCAAAGCGGCGCGCGAGCCCCAGCTGCCTAACCGTCAGTCCCTCCGACATCATGATATTGGGGGGACATGTAGCAGAGGTCCATTACGACTATCGGTCGTTCAGTGTGGATGGCTTAAACAGCGGCTACTGATGGACAATGTCGTATTGCATCTGCGATTTATTTCAGGGTTAAAATATTTTTTAACATAAATTATTATTATTTTTTTTCCCCAGACACGCTGAGAAGCATTCCCTCCGAAACGGAGGAAGTACCGGTTGCTGTGTGTTGGGCAGCGCCATAGCTGTTTTGAGTTGTCCTTTGCACGTCCCGGTCGCCAGGCAGCTCCATAGCTGCTCACTGTGTCCTTTGGCATCAGGACTGGGACCTAGTAGTCCGGCATAGCGTAGGTGCTTGAGAGGTGGAAGAAGTCGGGTTGCCATGGCTATGGTGGACCCATGTTCATGTCAGCAGTAAGGACGAACTTCGGCTATTGGTTCTGGGTCATTCATTCATTGTTGTTATTATTAATTGGAAAAGAGACAAGATTGCTAAAAAGAGGGAGGAGGAGGAAGGTGGAGAGAGAAGGGAGATTTGTCATTGGTCTTGCTGGTGTAGTTCTTTTTCTTCTTTTTCTTTTTCTTTTTCTTCTTCTTCTTCTTCTTTTTTTTCGGTCTTCATCTCTGTGCAAGCGTTTTCATTTCTTTGCAATTGGGTGACATTGTCTTTCATTGTGAGTTTGCACTTTGGATATAATAAGGATCGTAACAGTGATCATATCTGATATCTGATCGGATCTGATCATATCTGATCGGATATGATAAGATATTATCATATCTGATCATATCTGATCAGATCTGATCAGATGTGATCATATATGATCATATCTGATCAGACCTGACCATATCTGATGAGATATGATCAGGTCTGATCAGATCTGATCAGACCAAATATGATCAGATCTGATCAGACCAGATGTGATCAGATCTAATCAGACGAGATTTGATTAGATCAGATCTGATCAGGGCTGATCAGAGCAGATCTTATCAGATGTGAGCTGATCAGAGCTGATCAGACTACATCACCTCTGACACAATCGGATGTGATCAGATTACATCAGCTCAGACGAGGAGAAGGTGGTCCTCCGCCCCTCCTCTCCCTGTCTCCTCCTCCTCCTTTCTCCTCGTGCTCCATTATCCTCCCCTCCTTTTTCCTCTTCCTTTGTCCTCCTCGTTTCTCGATTGTCCTCCTCGTTTCTCCTCCACCTTGATTCTCGTTGTCCTCCTCTCTCCTATTCTTTGAATTTAAATTTTTTATTTTTTTTGTTCTTATTTTGTTTTTTTATTTTCTTGTGAATGTGAACTTAGAATGCAAATGTGTGATCTCGGCGACACACAAACAAATGTGTCATCTTGCCTTCTTTCTCCTTTCTCGTCCTTACAATTTTCTTTTAATTTTTTTTTGTTCTTTTGGTGTATATGTAGTAAGTAACTTGGTGTTATAATACGTGTGTGTCAGGCACGTGGTGGATGGTAGATTGGTCGTGAATTTCGCAAAGTTGGGCCGTCTTTCGACTTTCATCTCACCGACTTGTACTGTCGCATGCGTACACGGGTAAGTTTTCATACTTTTTCAATCTTCGAGTACCGATTTTCCCTTGCAAAGAAATGACTCATCTACYAGGCTGTTBCTTMTYCCTGTAGGAGTTCATGATATGGTTGAGTTGCCACAAACGTCAGGTGGGTGAGTGCGTATGTGTAATTRYTRGTTCATTCATTAATGAYGGTAGACGAAGTACAAGCTGCATTATGACATCGTTCTCAGATCCAGAAATACAGTGAAAGRGAAAGTGATGGTCTGACAGTGTGATGGTTGACAKGTTCCGGTTAACAAGAGGTGATTGATGTTTTACCCCAAATAAAACGAACAGGAAACCGCCAAGAAAAACCTAACGGAATTCGAGCACCGCAAAATTACGCATATGCCAAATTAACGCTGAAGAATATCTTAAAAAATATTGTATGAAGCAAAAATCATTATTATTGAATCACCAACAGGCCGGTTGCTGCCTGTGGTTCGGTTTCGATTGCCACATCCACCTCTTCGTTCTCTGTCGAGTGGGCCCATTTGGCCTCGTTCAACCAGGTCGCAAGTTTCTCAGCATCCGTTGAGACAGGACCAATATATGACGGGTGAATGGTGAAATTATAGGATTATATCGTAGTGGTTGGCAGGTGCGCCGTTCTCTTTTGCACAACCTTTCGCTTGCACGTCAAAAGACAGCGCACATGCCGACCTGCGATCCTTGCAAAGGAAAGTGGGTCCATTAACGCTCAACTACCAGGTTGCAACTGAGTCACCATCCGCTGAGCCATAACCAATATATGACGGGAGAAAGGTGCAGTAAATAGGATTATATCGTAGTGGTCGGCAGGTGCGCCGTTCTCTTTTGCACAACCTCTCGCTTGCACGTAAAAAGACAGCGCACCTGCGGACCAGGGTTCCTTGTAAAGGTAAGTGGACCCATTCGCCGTGAAATACCTCTTCGGAAGTGAGTCAGCGTTCGTATGAGACGGGACCAATCGAAGTTGTTCGAAAGGTGCAGTAAATAAGATTATATCGTTGTGGTCAACAGGTGCACTGTTCTCTTTTGCACAAGCTTTTGGTTGGACGTCAAAAGACAGCGCACCTGCCGACCCTGGTTCCTTGTAAAGGGAAGTGGACCCATTCGCCGTCAACTACCTCTTCGCAGGTGAGTCAGCATTCGTTGAGACGGGACYTAGCGATGACGGGYGAAAGGTGCAGTAAATAGGATTGCATCRTTGTGGTCGGCAGGTGCGCCGTTCTATTCTGCACAACCTTCCCCTTGCACGTCAGAAGACAGCGCACCTGCCGACCCGCGATACAGGCAAAGGGAAGCGGGTCCATTAACCCTCAACTACCAGGTGACAAGCGAGTCACCATCCGTTGAGCCATAACCAATATATGACGATCCGGTGCGCAATGACTAGGATTATATTGTAGTGGTCGGCAGGTGCGCCGTTCTCTTATGCACAACCTTTCGCTTGCACGTCAAAAGACAGAGCACCTGCCGACCCGGGTTCCTTGTAAAGGGAAGTGGACCCATTCGCCGTCAACTACCTCTTTGCAGGTGAGTCAGCATTCGTTGAGACGGGACCTAGCGATGACGGGCGAAAGGTGCAGTAAATAGGATTGCATCGATGTGGTCGGCAGGTGCGCCGTTCTATTCTGCACAACCTTCCCCTTGGACGTCAGAAGACAACGCACCTGCCGACCCGGGTTCCTTACAAAGGGAAGTGGGTCCATTTGCCCTCAACTATCAGTATCGACGAGGATGACAGACAGATGATCGTTTGTGGATATGATTCAACAGCAAAGAGAGGAATGTGGCTTGTCGGCGCGGGTGATGATGGTGAGGATGACAGTGACAAGGATGTCACATTTCGATTTTTGGATGATCTGCATGAGCGTTTTCATTCTTTAGCTCTTCTTGGATGGGTGCCGGTCATTTGGAAAGAGGAACATATGGATAACAATCATGTGCATGTTACTTTTAAGGATCCATTGGGAGTTCCTTTCGACCTAGTTTATGAAGGGGGTTTATTGCGTCATTGCATGTTGAGTGGAGGCGAGGCAAGAGACCATGCAGTCTCTGCAGAGCAAGAGGACGCAGAGCAGGAAGTTGGTGGTGGGTCAAAGTATATGGACGACACACCAGGTGTGCCAGAGAGAGAGAGATGACGATCCGTTGATGAGCGAGCAGTTTCCACTCGAGGCAATTCGACAGTTGAAGAAGAAAGAATATGCAAGGAATGGTAATGTCAGCGAGAAGGCTGCTGAGGTCAACCATGCAGGGGAACAGAGGGCGAAGAGGAAAAAGAGTGCAGGTGAGAACGTGTCAAAGGGGAAAGGGAGGAAAGAGAAAGGAAACGTTGATGGAGGGACTGCAAGGCGTTGGAAGTTCAGGCCAGGGACAATTGCACTTCGAGATATTCGCAAAATGCAGAAGTCAACTGAAAGACTGATTCCTTTTGCTCCATTCACACGGTTCGTCAGGGAAATACTGGAAGATGACAAATGGAGGACAGGATGGGGAGAAGAAACTAGTCATCTGCCAGGGCCAACAAGAATGTCACTTCTTGCTCTCAAGGCGTTGCAAGAGGAAGCCGAGGCCTACGTCGTGCACGTGTTGAATATGACAAACCAGGTTGCTATCCATTCGAAGAGAGTGACTATCATGAAGAGGGATATGCAGCTGGTGATTGAATTGAAGAAGGGGACATGTGACTACGACACAGGCAAGATCCCGCGTCAGAGAGAAAAGAAGGATGATCCAGTGCAGCAGAAAACAGAGGGTTCTGGACGAAACCAGATAGACAGCATGCAGATGGCCAAAGAGGACCCACCGCAGAAGAAAAATGTCCCAACATCGAAGAAAAAGTGTGTCTGTCTGTCTGTGTCTGGGTGTCTGTGTCTGTCTGTGTCTGTCTGTCTGTGTCTGACTGTGTGTGTCTGTGTGTCTGTCTGCCTGTCTGTCTGTTGTGTGTGTATGTGTCTGTCTGTGTGTGCGTGTGTTTGTGTTTGTTTGTCTGTGTATGTGTCTGTGTTTGTCTGTGTATGTGTGTGTGTGTGTGTGTGTCTGTGTGTGTGTTTGTCTGTGCGTGTGTTTGACTGTGTTTGTTTGTGTGTGTCCCCGTGTGGTAGTGTCTCTCTCTCTCTCTCTCTCTCTCTCTCTC